GTACTTACAGAATGCTAATCTACCCCAGATACCTAAAGAGATTGAAATAATGTTAGAGAGCAATATAACGATGATGGAGTTAACTGAATCACTTAAGAAGCAAAACAATGGAAAGGCACCAGGCCCAGATGGACTTCCAGTGGAATTTTATAACACTACAAGAATGGTTGAATCTTCCATTGCTAAAAGTTATGAATGAAGTTATGTCAAAGAAGAAGATACCTAAATCATGGTCAGAAGCTTATATTACACTTATCCCAAAAGAGAAGGCTAATCCATTACAAATCAAGAATTACAGACCTATTTCCCTACTAAACGCAGATTATAAAATTTTTGCTCCAATATTGGCAGAAAGACTTAAAAAATACCTAAATAATTTTATTCACCCTGATCAAAATGGATTTCTGCCAAAGAGACAAATCAAAGACAATATGAGAGTAATTTTGGACACTTTGGAATACTACGCGGCACACCCTGAAAAACAAATGGTTTTGATATTCTTAGATGCACAGAAGGCATTTGACAATGTGAATTGGCGATTCATGTTATTACAGCTGGAACAGATGGGTTTGGGTCAAAAATTAATCCAAGCAATAGAAGCTATAAGCAAACAGCAAAGGTAATGATAGAGGGAGAATTAACGGGCTCTATTGATATAAGAAAAGGAACAAGACAAGGATGCCCATTGCCACCTTTGTTGTTTGTGTTAACCTTGGAAGTGCTAAACAGAAATATTAGAGAAGGAAAGGACATAAAAGGAATGAAAATTAAAAAAGAATTTAAATTGCAAGCATTTGCAGATGATCTGGTTTTCATCTTAGAAGACCCACTAGAAACAGCATTAAAATTGATAGAAAAGATCTCTATCTTTTATACGGGAAGATGGCTGGTTTGAAAATAAATAAAAACAAAACAAAGATCTTGACAAAGAATATGCTATCAAGACAAAAGGAAGAACTGGAGATGTATTAAAAATCCAGGTCACGAATAAGATCAAGTACTTGGGGATACATTTGACAGCAAGATGTAGTACACTAAAAGGGAATAACTATATTAAATTTAAACAGCAGATAGCGCTAGATTTGGCGAAATGGGAAAATTTACAACTGTCACTAATAGGGAGAATATCAACAATCAAGATGAATATATTACCCAGAATTTTATATTTGTTCCAAACAATTCCAATTAGGCTTGAAAAAGATTATTTTGAAGATTTAAATAAAATTGTGTTGAAATATATATGGCAAGGTAAGAAAGCAAGACTAAAATTAAAACTTTTGCAAGATGCTAGAATAAGGAGGATTTGGTTTGCCTAATTGGGAGTTGTGCTACCAAGCTACAAATTTGATGTGGGTTAAGGAATGGATAACATTAAGAAATGCTAGATTGTTGACATTAGAAGGACATGATCTGTTGTTGGGGTGGCATGCTTTTTTTTTTTTGCAAAATTTTTATTAATTTTTAAAAAACAAACTTATACAAACAAAACACAAAACATGAAAACATAAACATCTTTTTTAAAAGCAGCTTGATCCCGGGTTACATCTCTTCGTACAGACATAAATTCAAATTTGTGCTCACTTTTATATACCATTCCATATCTTATTACCATTCTAAATTTTTTATATAGCTTCTCCCCTCTTTTCACTCTCTTAATTCTATTTTATTTATTTCATCTCAATTTAAATTATTATACTTATATCCTTTGTCTGTCGTTTCAGCTGTCTCTTTTCTCATTAACACAAAATTTCTCCTATTATCACTGATTGGAGTATGACGCCTTTATATCTTTCTCCTAAATTTAACACTTAATATAATACATAACTTTCATTCGGATTCTGCTTAGTACATTCTAAAGCTACGCACTATATTTAAAAAAAAGAAAAAATTATAAATATATAATTAAAACAACAATCCATACCAATTGAACTCTATCGTTAAAATTAATATTCATTTAAATCTTAAACATTTTACACATTCCTTTTTAAATAGGGATCATTCTTCTATGGGAACACTTATAAATTTTGCGTAGTTACTTCCCATTTCACTTATATTTTAAAACATTATGTAATTAAAATGTTCCCATTCCTTCTTAATTCAATTCTCATATTTCATTTCATTTTTGTTCAAGAAAAGCTTCACTGAATTACATTGAATATTTTATCCCATTTTATAATATGTTTTTCCAATTTTCTAACATTATTTCTAATACAAATAAAACAATAGTCTTATGTACCTTTGCAGAATCTTTTTCAGTTATATTTTTACCCATTATCTCTAAATAAATCCTGTTTCTTTACATCTTGTTTCAAACCTTTGTAGCTTCTCTTCCCTTCCTTCCTCCCTTGCTTCTTCACTCTGCCCTTTTTACCCCCTTGTCTCTCCATCTCCATTTCCCTCTTCTGTATTCCTCTTTTCTTTTGCTTTCTGACATTATATCCACTTTTCACCTTATTTTTCCCTTTCTGGTTGTTTTTTTAGGTCTTAAATTCTCCATTCTCTTTCCCCACTTTCCCCTTTCTTCCCCAGATAAAGTTACTTGTTCATTAAAGATGGCTTCTTCTTTTTCCCAATCTTCTTGTTCTTGTAGTTTCTCATAAGTAGAGATCGCCATTTCTAAAAAATAAAAAACGGAGCCAAAAGAGCCCTTCCCTTCTTGTTCCTCTTCTTTATATTTTTTAAATTCCATTTTCAATTCCTCCACATTGTAAAAAAAATTTTAAACAACCACCCAAGTGTTTTTAATCATTGAAATATAATTTCCAAAAGTCCCAAAGTCACCAAGCAGTCCAAATACACACAACCTGTTTCATTTAATACTTCCTTCTTTTTTCACTTTCTCTTCCTGGGGTTACAATTCAGTTACAAAGTTCCAATTAAAATGTATCTTTTAGAAGTCTTGTTACAATTTAACTTTAGATTCTTTTAAATTCCAAGCAGTCTCCTCCAGCCAAATCTTACTCTTATTCTTTTCCTCTCCCTTCCCACTTACAGTGAAAAAAAGGTTTTTTCAGTGATCAGAAATCTTTATTGTCCCCTTGGCTTTGATTTTCCAGTTTAATTACCTGCTGATGCCAAAGCGGGTTCTTCCGATTTCTCATTCATCTGCTGTCACGGTAAGGAAGGAGAGTGAAAAAAAACAAACTTTCCCGTTTCACTTTCATTCGCTGCTTCTGGATCTTCTTTGGGAGCGATGTATCTTTTTTAAAATTTAAATTCCAGGATATCTTGAATGTTGTTTCTTATCCCGGTCAGCCAAAACTTTCACTTCTTAGCTTCCTCCTGCACATTCTTTTCCGGATGAGTGCTTCTTTGTGGTGGCCATTTCTGACCGCCGCTCTACCGCCTTCGGAAAAGGGAGTTAAGCCAGCTGAGGAGGGGAGGTGCGGCTCCCCTCAAATCCTGCCGAGTCTCCCCTATCTTCAACCACCTCTACGGGGTGGCTTAGCCCCGAAGCCGGCTGGCTCGGGGCACTCCAGCGGCGAGCGCAAGCAGAAACCGTGCACAATTGCAGATTCCTGCTGCCGCTGAAGCCCTGCAAACCACGGGGTGGAATACTTTTTTATGGTATAAAGGAACTAAAACACAGGGGTATTTTAGAAGACATTATACACGGGAGTCTCTGTGGTTAAACTGGGAGAAGACTAAAAAGCAATGTTATTTGAAAATTCCAGTCTGGCTATCGACTATTGAAGCATTTTCTTATCCTATAATATACAAAAAGGAACAAACAGTTAGATATGGTGAAATATTGAATGAAAAGGGTGAACTTAAATCTATGCAAAAATTAGAGGAACAAGGTATAAAGATGAATTGGTTTTCATATGCGCAAATACATTCAAGGTATGATAAAGATTCTAAAACAGAAGGTTTCTATGATAAATTGACTGATTTAGATAAGATTTTGACAGGTACTGATGAAAAGGTGATTAAAAAATTGTCTGGATATTTATTAGAAATTAAACTAGAAGAACAAGAAGTTAAAGAAACAATGATTGCTTGGGGAGAGAATTTTGGATATGGGATTGATCTAGAGAAATGGCAAAAATTATGGTCTCAAAATTATAAAATGACAATGTCAACTGCATATAAAGAAAATTTGTATAAGATGTTTTATAGGTGGCATTTCCCCCCAACAAGAATGTTCAAGAACAAATTTGAAAAATGTTGGAAATGTCGTCAGGTACCTGGCTCATATTACCGTACGTGGTGGACTTGTGCGGATGCCAAAAAATATTGGACCATATCCACACATGGTTGGAAAAAATGACAAAAAAAGCATATAGACTTGAAAACAGAGATATTTTTATTGGGAATTTTACCTGAAATATATAGTAAAGAATTGAAATATTTGATGGTAAATGTATTAACAGCGGCTAGGATTGTATTTGCCAAAAACTGGAAAAATGAGAAAATACCAACACAGGAGGAGGTTATTAAGAAAATATTGGAATGTGCTGAAATGAGTAGATTGACATTTGAAATCAGAGAACAAGAAGATAAACAATTTTATAAAATTTGCGATCTATTCTATCAATGGTTAGACAATAAAATATGGTAATGAAATATGTAGATTTTTAGAACATAATGAATATATAAAGATGTATTTTTTATTGTATCTACAAAATGATTACAGGATAGATTTGAGATGATAATATGAACTGTCATAAAACAAATTAAGTAAAATATGGATTATCTTATAAAACATGAATGAATAATAGTATAGTCAAATGATTAACAATGATATTAATGTATTTAGGAATATTTGATTGACAATATGAGAACGTATACAATGTAATTGTAACTGAAGACTAAGAAGTAGAAGCACAAAACAATTTGTAAACCAACCGACACACTGTATGTATACATATGGAAGATGGCTTGATGTTTTTATGTTGTGTTTGTCTATGTTTGTCTTAAAAAAGAATAAAACTTTTATTTTAAAAAAGTGCAGTACTGCATTTTAACCACTCCGCTACTGTATTTGCAAACATACTCACATTTTTTACTCTGTTTCTCCACTTCTGCTTTCAGTCTTTTATACTTATCTGTTCTATACACCAGAACCCATGTTATGCCTGAAATAAACATTAGACATAAAAATATGTACAACTGGGCAGAAACACACAAAAAGCTTCAGACCACTGGGTTCTATCAGTAGGACAGAACATCTAAGGCAGGGGTGTCAAACTCAAGGTCCGCAGGCCAGATCCAGCTCACAAGGCTGCCCTGGAAATAGCAAAGGACTGGTCTGTGGTGGCCTGACCAAGTGCCAATCTACAACATGGTGGTGGCCATCTGGGCCGATACGCAGTCAGCTTTAGATCTGTGGTGCCACTCTGGAGCCAGCAGGGGGCCTCCCCCACCCCCTTGCTCGCACCCAGGAGTTGGTGAACACACAAAGGGCCTGGCATCTCTGGGGATGCCAGTGCCTCTGCACTTGCCATTGTATGGGTGCATGCCCAGGGGGTGGAGCCAAGGTGGCAGCGCGGTCTCTCAAATGCCCCACTTGTATGCATGCAGGCTCCACGGGACAACGGGTTCTCATTCCTTCCCTGGTGCGGTGAATTCTGGCAGACGGGATGTGGGTGTGAGGGCTTCGTTCAGTTGAAGGTTTTGTTCATGCCCTCAAACAGTAATGCCAGTGCATGCAAAGCCCTCTTGCCCAGTGCAAATGTCCTCCAGCGGCTGCGCTTACAACTGGCTTGCAACACCTGAGTTGCACATCTTTCCTCCTCTTCCTCCTCTTCTCCTCCCCCTCTCCCTGGTCCTGCTTCCTCTTCCTCCTGCTACCTCCTCTTCTTCTTCCTCTTCTTCCCCACTTTCCTCCTCTCCTTCTCCAGGCACACCAACTGGGCTTGTGTTCCCTTTGTGCACCTCTCCAAGTTTGCGAGACAAGCACACAGCAGCCCAACTTGTAAACGGGGGCTTTCCCAAAGTTTCACTTAAGGGAGGCCCTCCCAAGATGTGGGGGGGATGTCTTTTTTTTCCGAGTGCAAATAGGGGCAGGGAGAAGCTACCTTTCACCATAATCGCTGTCTCTCCAAGGGAATCCCTCTCTCGTTTGCACCTTTTCCAAGACCATGGACTCCACTAAACTTCAACTGGAGTTTTTTGCTTTTGTTTTTGATGCTTGAGGATGCCTCATGTGTTTTGGCAACATCCTGCCTGTTTTTCATGGTATGGTTTGGTTTGGATGTTTGATGTGTGTGTGTTGGATTTGTGAGCTTAAAGGGCTTTGGCTGCTTGGTCCAAGCCTTTGCAAACTGAGGTGACTGCATGCTTTGGGTTTGTTTGCTAAGAAGCACTGTGCTATGCTGAGTTGGTTTGTTCTCTCTCTTTTTTAAAATTTGTTTTCTCAGCACTTCCTCCTGCTATTTCTTCTTCCTCACTTTCTTCCTCTACCGCTCCTGGCACCCCAAAAAGGTTCATGCCCCTTTCTTCATGCAGCTCTCCAAGTCTGCAAGCCAAGCTTGGAGCAGGGGAGAGCAGAAAGCATCTTTCCTTTCTTAAGGAAGTGTTGTGTCTCCAAGGAAATCTCTCCCTCCCTCCTCTCTCTCTAACTTAGCTCTGTTCCTAAACACTAAAGCTGTTGCACATAAAAAACAGAGGAGCTCTGATCAGGTATCACAGCCACCATTTGACAGTTTTGCTGTGCTGTTGTCTGTGAGTGCCCCCACTAAATGCAAGAACGGGATAAACTGAGCCTAGTTTGTTCTCAGTATTTTAAGTGCCCACAAATTACTAGCAAAAATGGCATTTGAACACAAGGCAAGGAGGCATCAAGAAATGTTTCCCCTTTTGCATTTGAGCATCCAAGAAGATACAGGAAAACAGAAAGGGAAAGAGGAAAGATAAAGAAAAAGGAAGGAAAGAGAAGGAAGAAGAAAGATATGAGAGGGAAGAGGGAAGGAAAAAGAAGAAAAGTGGAAAAAGAAGGAAAGGAGGGAGAGTTCCCCCATCCCCACCCAGGCCACCACAGGTGATGGTGACAGCTGCCCATATGAGTGATGTCAAACTGGCCACTCCCCCCACACCCATGCCCCCCCCCACAACCCTAATGTGGCCCTCAATGAAATTGTGTATGACACCCCTGTTTTAGACAGATCTAGGAAGACACTTCTGAGGCATATTTTCTGTAAAATGCATAATGCTGATTTCTTATTATCAGCTATTGGTGTAATTGGCATGCCACGTTTAATAATGTTCTGGTGTAAAGGTATGGTCTGGATGTGATTCAATGATTTTAAAGTTTATCATGGAGATTACAAAAATACATTTAATTCTACATTTTGTCATGTGCATATAAATGAGGATATTTCAATTGTAACAATTTTGACCGACCAGAATTATTATATTTCTAACTTTTTTAGCTTCAAACAATGGATCAAAGAATTAAAATATGCCAATTTTAATCATCCCTGGCAAAATAAGCCAGCCAAGGTTCTGAGATGGAATTCAGGTGGGCACCGGTTTCTGAATCACCTGAGAAGTCAGCCAGCACCTTCCTGATTCCCTTACCCAATCCGCTGTCCTTTGGACTGCAATACAAACATCCATTTCCACTCTCTCAACGTAAAATAACTCGGAGCCCCTGTAACTATCCTGCCGGCTACTGAACTAAAGTGCAAAATCCACTCTAGCATGATCATGGAATACCAATACCGATTGAATTGCACGAAGTTGCAACAAATACAATTAAAATTGGTTAAAGGAAGATCACCCTAAATGTAGCCACTTGTCAAAAATGGTGTAGGGTCTCCTGCTTGGGCGGGTGGGGGGTGGGGAATTGGACTAGATGACCTACAAGGTCCCTTCCAAATCTGATTATCTGTATCTCTAGCCACCATCCTGCTCTCCGTCCCGAGAAATTGATTCTATCCTCCTTTTCCCCACTCACCCTCCGCTAACAAAGCGGTGCAGACCGAAATGAAAACAATAAGGACAGTATCAGCGAACATAGTAGTCATCTCTCGGATCTAGCGGCAACAGCTCTTTTCCGGAAACTAGGCCCAAACGGAAATTAGAGAATATAGAGATTTACGTCCTAGAGAGTGTGTAACACTTCAGAGTTGACCGGAACTCCCTGCAGGACCAGCCTCTTTTCCGGCGCACGCCTGCCTGTTTGAATTGTACCGGTAAGCCGGACGTAGAAGATTCGAGCTCGGCGGATCCCGGGAGCAAAAAAGAGAGAGAGCTGTTCACAAAAGTGGGGGAAGGGGAGATGTGTACAAATGTGGAGGCTTGGCATCAGGGTAGCAAGAGTGCAGGAGAGGTTGAGGAGCCTATTATATTAAGCGATGAGTCTTGGAGGTTGCAAGGTACACGTTATACTGCGCTAGTGAAGCCACACTTGGAATGCTGCGTCCACTTCTGGTTACTATGATACAAAAAAGGTGCTTCTAGAAAGTCCAGAAAGGGTCTAGAAGCTAAACTTTATGATGAACGGTTAACGGAGATAAGTATATCTAACCTATCAAAGAGAAGGATTAGGAAGTGACGATAGCTCTTCCTGTACTTGAGAGACTGTCACAGAGGAGAGGGGGTCAATTTGCACCAAAGGGCAAGTTAAGAAATAATGGGTGGAAGCTTGTTAAAGGGTGATCCAGCCTAGAACTAAGGAGAAATTTCCTGACAGAACAATTAGTGGAATATCTTGCCTTTCAAAGTTGTGGGTTTGTCATTGGAGGTTTTCAAGAATATGCTCGACAACCAGGACTGGGATGGTAATTTCAAACTGGTGGCCCATGGGCCAGGTGCGTCATGCTCAGGCCATGCCCATCCTAGCTCCGCAAAGGGGAAAAACAGCGAAACATCACGTGACGGCAACATGACATGGCAAGTTTGACACCTGTGGTATAAGGTCTCCTACCTTGAGCAGCGGCTTGGACTAAAAGACCTCTGATTCTATATTCTGTGTTCTGTGACTTCCAGGCAGTGTGATGCAACTGTCTAAGCAGATCCACCCTCACCTTTTAAAACAGTGAATCTTGCCAGTAAGATAGTTAGTGATGTGAGGTCCCTTCAAACCCTATAATTTTATGATTCTATTGTGTTCTATGAACCCCCTTTAGTTTTGCAAAAGGGTTCTTTGGGCAGCAGGTGGAAAGGCAAGGCAAGAAAGAAGCTTGGATTTTGGGAATGAGGTACCTGCAATTTCAAAAAGTTAAAAAAACTGATTGTCTTTCTTAGATGTAATCCTAATGAAAAAGAGCTGGTTGAAGAGATATAAACAATTGGAATTTTGTCAGGAAGTGACCGTGTAATCTAGGTTTTTAAGATGCTGCTGAAAAAACAACTTGAAGCATAGTCATACTGACAGCCAATTTCAAAAGCTGTAGAGAAGTATATGTAGGACTACTTGACTTTCAGGTCAAAGGGAGCACAGGAGAGTTAGGAACTTCTGAAGATGAAGATACTGGAAGTATGCTTATCCTCCATTCCAATGAGACAGGGGACAGTTTAAAAAAACCAATGAATGTGCAGTTCCAACAGTATTAAAAATGAAAAGACCAGAATATCTATAATCATGAGAGTTGTATTAGGAAGCAGCTATTTGCAGGAGAACAATATTGTAAGCTCAAAAGAAATTCAGACTTCAAAAAGAAAAAAAATGTCACTAGAAAAAGAAATTACTACCAGAAGATAAAGGTTAGTAACAAACGAAGTTCATAGGAGATAATTTGGGGAACAACTGATTGCCATGATTCCAGGAGCAGACCAATCATACTCAATCTCAATTTTAGAAAAATGTTAAAAGATTAACAGACTGGATGTATGTATGTGTGCAAGAAGGCTGATGGAGAGTCTCAAATCATGCTGTTCCTTTTGTTACATCAAGACATGTACAAGGCTGTTAAAACTTGCCTTATTGTACCATATCCATCATCTAGCCATATATTTTAACACTTCTGCCCCACTCTTCCTGTCAAGATCTTTGATAAACCAAAAATCAGAATACAGAATAAAAGTTGGAAGGGACCTTGAATATCTAATCTAACCCCTATATTATTCTGGGCACATGGCTGTCCAAACTCTTCTTAAAAACTTCAGTGATGGAGCACACACAGCTTCTGGAGGCAAGCTGTTCCACTGATCGTTCTGTCAGAAAATTTCTTGTAGGACTTCCGGTGGCAGGACAGGGACGTCCAGAGGTGGAGAAGCCCAGCTGTGGCTTTCGAACACCTCGCGTTTGGAGGGATCCCCAGTGGATACACGAAACCCGTAGAGCTTCATGTCAGAATAGAGGACCCCCGGGTTGCTGTTTGGGGGAAGGCAACTCCCCAGCAATGAAGTAAGAGCCTCTGAGACCTGCGCGATTGAGCCAGCCACCAGCTAATGGTGGCTCCAAAGTCCGGTCTGTCACTGAACTGACGAAGCAAAAAGTGACAGCCTGAAAGATCAGAGCAGAAAAGGGCAGAGGACTACAAAAGCCGTGAGAGAGATCGGTCTGACTCTCCCTGTTTCATTGTGAGTAACAGTGGTGGGAAGCTGGAGACAAGCAGCTAGAAAAGCGGTTTGAAAAATGAAAGGGGGATAAACGCGAATAGAATGGCTCAACACTTAAAGTGAAAGTGTGGATTGGAGCGTTTGGAAGAAGATTGTCGAGGAGAGAAGAAGGCAGTGGGAAATTTAAGAAGCTCGGGAGTGGATTGCCATCTGGGACCAGCGCCTGAGAAGACTAGAAGACCAGGAGAGGAGTATAGCTGCGAAGGAGGGCAGAGCGAGCTGTAGAGAGTGAGATAGCGACACACTGACTTATATGCAAGGTCCTCTTCCTTTTAGCAATATTGCCTACAAAACTGATTTCTAAAGTGATCGATCTGAGGCGGACACCCAAAGTGACTGTGGACTGACAATTGCTTGCAGAAGGGAAGAAGAAGAGGAAAGAAGAAGGAAGAGACAGACGGAAACCTGGTAAAGACTGATCGCTGATCGCTGACAGCAATTAGTCAGCACTTCCTCCCTCTGCTTCTTTGGTGCGCCCAGGAAGAAAGACTATAAGACTAAAACTCCAGCCCCAACTCAGACTTGTTTTTTTATGGAACTAATCCCACAGATACATGTCTAGTGATTCCCCGAAATTGAAAAGACCCTTTTCCTCCCGCACTCTTTCTCTCTCTCCCTTTCTCTCTTGGTCTTTCCTTTCTCTCTATAATAATTATAAATATAGGTGTAAAGGCAAACTGCTTATAGTTATTAGGGTTTACTGATTAGAGTCTCTTGAATATACAAAAATTTTAAGGTCTGTTAAATAGTGTTGTCTCAGATTAATTGGAACCTTAAATATTAATATACATTATAGGATAAAGGTATATATAGAGTGAGAAATTCTAGAGTTGTTTGTTAGCTTTAAACAAGTTTGATTTGATATGGTAATGATTTATTAGGGGTAAAATATAATTAACTCTGGTATATGAACTTAGTATAGAGAATAATATATAATACATAATAATATTTGATAACATTCTATGGTATAGTAACTGATAACACTTTATTGAATTGGAATTTAAATTGCCTAAACGACAAATTGGGCCGAAGAAAGAGATCTAAAATAACTTGGTGTGTAAGCTTAGTAAATAGATTTGTAATCACACTTAAAGGGCTATTACATCGAATGGTGATTTGGGATAATATTCTTAACGTCCAATTGCAAAAACAAATCTTATCAGAGATGACTTCCACAACAACCACGGCCCTGAAAACAGGAAGGAAGAACACCCAGACCTTGATGACAACTTTGGCAACTGCCTCCCCAACAACGCAGAAAACTATAGAAGAGACCTTGACAGGAGAAAAACAACCGACCGTCACTAATGCCAATCTACAAGCGACACTATTATCCCTGCAAGAATCAATGGATTAACGTAAAAGCCCTACAAGATTCGAACCTTGGCACCAGATTCGAAAACGTCGTCACTACAATTTACCACACCCAACAGGCAAATATTCTAATAAATGGGGAACAAACTGGCCCGATAAAAATAGAAAAAGGGGTAAGATAGGGTTGCCCTCTCTCCCTTCTGCTTTTCATATTCGCCCTAGAATCTCTTTTGACGTACATTAGGCAAAATTCGAGAATTAGAGGACTGAGGATCAAATCAGAAGAGTATAAAGTACAAGCCTTCGCTGATGATTTGGTTTTTTTTCTGGAGGAGCCCATAGAAAAAGGACATAACTTATTAGAAGAATTAGAACGCTTTGGAGAAGTCGCAGGATTTAAAATTAACAGGGGAAAAATGAAATTAATGACTAAAAATTTAACAGGAGACCAGAATAAAGAGCTAGAGACAACAATGGGAATACAGGTGACAAAAAAAATTAAATACTTAGGAATTTGGCTAACTCCACAAAGCAAATCATTAAAAGAAAACAACTATGACAAACTTCTCCAACAATCCAAGAAAGATTTAGATTCCTGGAGTAAATTACAACTTTCCTTATTGGGCAGGATTGCTCTGATTAAGATGAATATTCTGCCAAAATTTCTATATTTATTCCAGACAATTCCAATCAAATTAAATAAGATTTTTTTTATGCAATTAAACAAGATAAAGCTGAAATTTATTTGGCAGGGGAAAAAAGCTAGGATTAACGTAAAAGCCCTACAAGATTCGAAAAGCAGAGGAGGGTTAGCCCTGTCAAACTGGGAAATATATCATACGGCAGCCACCCTACTATGGATAAAGGAATGGGTGAATTTAACCAACAAAAGAACACTAATATTAGAAGGCCATGATATGCAGAAAGGATGGCATGCCTTTCTGTGGGAAACTGGGAAACCCAGGCAATCATATTTCCATAGGCATCTTATCAGGGACTCTCTATTAACCAATTGGAAAAAAGTACGTAAAAAACTCTATCTAAAAATACCAATTTGGCTATCTCCAATGGAAGCAATAGTACACCCTAATAATTTGGATATAACTAAAATGATTAAGTATGAAAATTTATTAGACCCACAAGGAAAACTGAAAACACGACAAGAATTACAAGAGCGTGGATTTATAATTGATCAGTGGGTGTAT